ACGTTGAACTTAAAATATAGTTTCCCAGACGTCATAAAAATATTTGACGACCACAACATTTCATTAAAGTTTGTTTGCTAAGTAAAAATGTCAAAACTTCTTGAAAGATGTTTGAAGAAAAACAATATAGACTTTATTTCATGTAAAGGACTTTACACGCTTTTGAACGATATGAAAGACCCTGTTTTGTTTGTTCGTGTAGACAAAGGAAAGTTCTATGTCTTTACAAAATATTTGAACTTCTTAGACAGAGAACTTCAAGAAACGCCATGTGAAAGTTTAGATGAAGTTCTTCTCCACTTTCAGAAAAACTTTTAAATATATGTAAATGGCAGAAGACATAGTGGTTTATACTATTACGACTAAAAACCCTGAGTCATATAATTCTATAACAACAAACTTACAAAGTCCTCAAGGACGATATTGTAAACTAACCTTAAACACAATGACGACTAAAGCCTGTTTTGCTCTTTTGACACCAGAAGACTTTGTTGTTGTGAATGGTAAAAAATACTTCTTTGAAGATACTTACTCAGATATACCACCAACAGGTTTTTGTTGACTTATTTAATACTTTAAGGACGGATGTAACATGTGCTGCAACTAGAGCAGGTTTCATTATGTTTGGATGTCCGACTGAGTTTAGTATAAACGATATGAGCTATAATACAAAACTTATTCTGGTTTTTACTACCAACAGTTTCCTATAACAGGAAAAGGTGTCATACAAGGAATGTCTGTTCCATTGACTTTAAGTACACCTATTTTATATATTGTTTCAAACTTAGGTTCAAAGTGCTATTCGAATGTTGACAGAAACTACTATGACCAAAAGATACTCATGCGTATAAACAACACTTTCTCTGCTGGTTTGCCTATTGTTCATTCGAATGCAGAGTTTTCAGCTTTAGTAAACTCAAACACTTTAGCAAACATAAACTTAACCTTAGTTGACGCAAACTTTGTTCCTGTAAAACTTTTATGTCCTATGTATTTGTCAATGACGGCAGAAAGTTTCGAATTGGAAGATGCAACTGGTGAAAGTATTGTACTACAAGAACAACTTCAACAACAAATAGCTCAAGAACAACAAATGCAACAAATGGAACAAATGCAACAACAAATAGCTCAAGAATAAAAAAAATATTTTTTTTTATTTTTATATAAAAAAATGTACAGAATAGACGTTTCAGATTTTTATGACTTCCAAGCGTTCAGAAATATGTGTCCATTTCGAGACTATAACAAAGCAGTCGAGAATTTGAAACGTTTAGTCATTTATGTTGACTCTGCCCCAGAATGTTATGTCATGAAAGAATGGGATGTTGTCTTTAACAAACCAAGAGCGACAATAGTTTCAGAACAAGAATGTAGACAGAAACTTAAGAAAATAAAAGTCGTACAAGTTGGTATGAAGATGTTAGATGCTTGGGATATCTTATTGTCAAAACTTGAAGATTTTTCAGTTCGTGGTATAAAGTTCTATACACCATCTCCAAACTTCTATTCTATCTTCACTGGATATAAATATGAACAAGTAGAATGGAAAGAAAATATTATAGAAGCTTGGTTAGACCATGTCAAAGAAATTATATGCAATGGAAACGAAAGAGTCTATGAGTATATCTTATGTTGGTTTGCAAACATCTTACAACATCCAAGTGCTAAAAATGAAACTGCTCTCATTATAATTGGAAAACAAGGAACTGGTAAGAACACATTCTTTACAGATATTTTGTGCAAACTGTTAGAAGGTTATTCGAACCCGAATATGACAAACTTAGAAAACATCTGTGGCAAGTTTAACTCCTCAATAGAGAATATGAAACTTATAGTTTGCAATGAACTTCAAAGTATAGATACAACAAAAGTTTTGAACTCAGATGCTTTGAAGAGTCTTATAACAGACAAAGTTGGAGTTGTTGAAAGAAAATATAAAGACCAAAGAGTTTGTGAAAATGTTGCAAATTTCATTATGGTTTCAAACAATGCCGTTCCGATGAAGTTAGAAAGTTCTGACAGAAGATATGTAGTTGTCAGAACGTCAGATTCTCATATGCAAGATACAGAATATTTTGACGACTTAGCAGAAACTTTGACATCTGACTTTTACAACCACTTGTTCTCATATTTCATGACATTAGATATTTCTAAGTTCAATCCAAGACAAATTCCACATACCGAAGAAAGACAAACATTGTTAGAAGCAAACAAGAGTGTTATGAACTGTTTATAGATGAGACTAACTTTGAGTGTTTAGATGAAAGGTCATTGTACGATGAATATAAACAATATTGCCAAGAGTATGGTTATATGACAGCGTCTAAACGAACATTCTTGGCAAATGTCAAAAATCTTTTAGATGTTCAGAACGGCGTATATACAAAGAAAAATTTTTCTGAGTAAATTTAAAAAAAATATTTTTTTATCCGATAGAAAAGATGACGAAATATATTTCAGTCAACAAGTACATGACAGAAGTCAAAGAAGAACTAGACCCATTCGCATATTTGAATGTTTACTTCTACCATTTTGAAAAGTCTACATTTGACAAAGTTTGGAACATCGAACCAGTTAAGTTTGCTATTGTGACTAAAAATGGTGCGAAATTTGAAGACTTAGACATAGAAGGTTTGTTAGCAGTCAAAGAAAATTTTGACAGAAGGTTCTCAAACCTTAAAGAAGGCAAAGCATACAAACTTGTTATACCTTATGAACCAAAGAAAGCAGACGACTATGAATATTATGAGTCTAAGATAGTTGAAGTTCAAGGTAAATTGGGTAAAAAGATTTTAGAGTCTAAGCCAGTGTTTGCTCCTAAAGAGGAAGAGAACATTGACATTGACCCAGAAATGTTCTAAAAATAAAATTTTATTTTTACATGTCAAATTTCTTTTTCTCTGGTTCAGGTTCTTTCTTCTCTTCTTCTACTTTCTTTTCTTTCTTCTCTCTCTTCTTCTTCTTCTCTGGTGGAGTTATGTCAAATTTCTCCGAACCATATTTCTGTAAAAGTTCTTTGTCCTTTAATAGCTCATCTATTCTGTTTCCTATTTCATCTTCAAGAACAGCGCATGTGTCTTCTTTGCATTCTAAGAACTTTTGTTGGACTTCATCTTTCCAATCGGCGTCATCTCTGTCAACAAGTCTGTCATTGACAAATTTTAAGACTGCTCTGCTTAATGTTTTATGGTTCTTGTCATATTCCCAGAAACAGAACTTTAGAACAAATTCACCTTTCTTGTTTACACTATGTAAGATTTTATGGTCTATCAGATGTTTTGCTGTCAAAAAGTTGTCTCGAATATAGATAGCGAAATCGCTAGACATTTTCAAAAAGATAAAAATTTTAATTTTTCTAAAAATATGTTAGAAAAAAAGTTTGCTGACATTGACAAGAAATTTGAGAATGTTTTAAACAAGAACAAGAGGAAGTTAGAAAATGCTCAGATAAAACCTATACATGACAAGTTCTTATTTGCTCAGAATGGTATAACAGGTCTAATCGCACCACCTGGGTCGGGTAAGACTTACTTATCTTAAAATGGCTGCACAACACAAGAACTAGATGAGAAGAACCCATTCTATGAGTTAGTAGTCATTTGTAGTACTTCTGGTCAATTTGACCAAACCGTCAATTCGTTCAAAGATATTATAAAAAAGTCTAAGTTAGTATGTATAAAAGACTCTGAGTTGTTAGATTGGATAAAGAAGTACCAAAAGAAGAGTTTTGAAGTACAATGCTATAAATGAGTATGTCAATTCGAAGTTTAAAGACCAAATGAGGAAATGCAGAGAATATTAGAGAAGAAACACTTCAGAAACAAACAGAAAGAGATAGAATACATTTCGAAGAAATTGCAATCTTACGATTGGAAGACTTACCCTCACAGATGTCTTCTTATCTTAGATGACTTTGCTTCTCATCCTTTGTTAAAGAAAGAGAACAAGATATGTGTCGAATTCTTAAGAAGCTCAGACACTTTAACATCTCAGTTTGTCATTTGTGTACAGACAGCAAAGAGTTTAAGTAAGGATGTTAAAAGAATACTTACTGATATCATACTTTTCCCTGGATTGTCCGAAGACGATTTCATGGAACTTATGAAAGAGTCCATGGCAGGTAAGTTTGACAGACATGAACTATGGGAGAAGTACAAAGTCATACAAGACCCTCATACTTCTTTCAGAATTCACATCTACGCGAACAAAGTTCAAATTGTAAAAAGTCAAGCTTGAAAAATAAATGGTTCATTTACTCTGCTTGTTTGAAAGTTGTCAAAATACTCTCGTTATTTTTCACGATTTTCATAGAGTTTTGGCTACCCCTGTAAAAGTCGGTCTAGAGAAAATTTCATGAAATTTGGTCATTTTTTTCAGCAAAAATATATTTTAGGTAGAAGGGTATATCTACCCCGTTTTCTACCTCATTTCTACCCCAGTTATTTTATAAACGTTTTACATGGTAAACGTTATTTTTTTAAATTTTGTGAAAACTCAACGGTTTGACACAAGCCCTAAAATATATTTACTCAGAATTTTACTCAGAATTCAATAAAAATATATTTTAGGGTAGAAGGGTATATCTACCCCGTTTTCTACCCTCATTTCTACCCCAGTTATTTTATAAGCGTTTACATGGTAAACATTGTGAATTCGTGAAATTCTAAACAGTTTTGTAGCTTCTATTTCTTCACGAAGGATATCGAATGTTTTCACAATGCCGAAAGTTTCTTTATATTTCTTCTTGACATCTGAAAGAAGGAAATCGTCAGCTGTTGGATAGTTTTTGTTTAGAAATGTCAACATGTCCATTTTATCCTCTACTGGTTTCTCTGCTCCCTCTTTAAGTCAGCATAGTCGTTTCGCATACGTTCTATCTCTTTGACGGAGTAGTTATATTTCCTCATTGCTGCTTTCATTTAGAACATTGTGGGTTCATTTTTGCGTTATATTCTGAAACCTTACCTGCTAAAACCAAGGCGTCAATTGCTCTCTTTAACTCAAAAGTTGCGGGTTTTATCTGTTCATTCCATATCTTACCTCTTCTATCTTTATCTCTTATCTGCCATACACATTTTGCAACTAACGAAACAAAGTTGTCGTAGGTCTTAAACTCCCCAGATTTGTATATGTCAGAGATGTTCTTATATACCATATCGCAATCTTTGTCCATGACTTTGTGGTTGCAATGAAATCCAAGAAACTCATAGTTAACCTTTCGTATGAACTTCTTTATTTCTACTGAGTCAGTTGCTTTGACTTCTATTTCATCGAATTCTGGAATAGTAAGCTTTTGTTGTTGGATTTCAGGCAATTTGGGTAAATGGTCAATAATATCCTGCATTTCATAAAGATACTGTTCATTTGTTTCATCTTTCGCACTACAGTCTAAATTACTTGTTAAAAGTTCCTGCTTTATCTTCTGGATTTCTGTTTCGAAAGTATATGAAGAAGGAATGAAGCTTTTCATCTCTACTAACATTGACGTAGGATTCATGACTAAAGAGTTTGGTGCTGTTGTTGCTAACATGTTCTTACAATAAAAATAAAAAAATATTTTTTTAAAAAAACCAACTTTATTTTTTATTTCGGGAAAACTCATGACAAATTCATGAGGGTAGAAAAGAGGTTAGAAAAGAGGTTAGATATACCCTTCTACCCTAAAATATATTTTTGGTGTAAATTTCATGAAAATTCAAGAGGGTAGAAAAGAGGTTAGAAAAGAGGTTAGATATACCCTTCTACCCTAAAATATATTTTTGCTGAATTCAGCAACAAAGTTCAAATTGTAAAAAGTCAAGCTTGAAAAATCTAAGTGTTTAGTCTTAGTAAGATGGTAGCTTCTTAAAGCATATGCCGTCCTTGAGTTTTATGTACGTGAAGAGAAGTACAATGAATTCAATTACGAGTACAATTGCAATGACAACTAAGGCAACTATTTTTGTCTTTTGCCAGCAAGGGTACTTCTTCTCTTCCAATGGTTCGGCAGAACTATACTCACTCATGAGAAATGCCAAAACGGTTTAATAGAAAAAGTGTCATTTTTTCATGTCCGAAGACTCGAAGGTGCAACACTTCCAAAATACCGACGAACTCAGAAGAGCAGCATGGCAGTATGTTCTTGACAACTTCTTTGAGTTCTCCAGGCACACCTTGGAAAATGCTGAAGAACTCCGACACAGAGAATTTGGAGAAATTGCACTCCAATACTACATTGACAAACAAAGGGTAAACAAAGGGTAAAATAAGACTAAAAACTTAACGTTTAAAAAGTGACATTTTTATGAGCTCCGAGTCACCGAGAAAACTTGGTCAGATGTTAGCAGCTTACTTCCCTGAGGAGGATGGAAGCGTTACATACGTAAGGTTCAAAAACAACGAACCTGGAATTGCGTACCAAATTCGCAATTACATGACCATGGAAGAGTACGAAAGGTTCCTACAAGAGAAACCAGCTCTAAACAACTCAGAAAAAGAAAGAGTAAAAAGTTTAACTCGTAATTGTTTATTTTTTTACTTGTATGGGCAAGCTGCAAGAATGAAGTCGACTATCTCCGTCTTTGTCTTGACCAGTTGGACTGCTCTTGCGAGTACGTCTGTTTTGCGGTCTCCAGCTGGTGTCTGACCTTCGTAATTGCGCATGTTCTTGAGAGCTCCAACTGTAAATGGTTGTAGGATGAAGAGTCTCTCAGACTGCTTGAGGTAGTCTTCACGGTCACGAACCGAATCTGTGGTACGAGTCGAATCGGTCGATTTGAGGGAAGAGACTGAAAGCCTGTCATCTTCCATCGGGGCTGTGGCATACTCTTTGCGTAAGCGGTTCAGACCTTCTTCGAAGTCTTGGTCTCTCTTCGATTGAGATTGAGATTGAGATTGCTGGGGTGGAGCTTGCTGGAACAACCAAGGGTTGGGGAAGTAAGGCATAGGCTGAGGAGGAGGGTAGTTCGGGAAGCCTTGTGGTAGGTAGTAACCTTGAGGTGGAAATTGGTAGTAAATCGGAGGTACTTGCTGGAACTGAGGTGCAGGGGCTGGTGCTTTAGGTTCCTCTGGTTTGGGAATGGGCTCGGTTGGTGGTACGTCGGACATCTGTTTGTGGCTTAACCGTCGGAAGGAAAAACCTTTCCTGTCGGAAGGAAAAACCTTTCCTGTCGGAAGGAAAAACCTTTCCTGTCGGAAGGAAAAACTTTTTCTGAAGTTCGACCAAAAGTTCTCAATTTTCGAAAATTTGAATGGTTTACGGACGGACAACTGGAAGAGTCCTTCCTGTCGTCGGGAAAATTTTTTCCAGTTGTCGGGAAAATATTTTCCTGTCGGATGGAAGGACTCGGAATACCAGAAGGATTTGACGAGGCAATTTACCTTATAGAGATAAATGAAGTTGTTAAGCAGTACTTGCGCAGGGTAATGAAGCCCAAGGTCAAGTTCACCACTATTTCTGGAAGGTCTACACTTCAGCTCGAGACTTCGACTGGAATTCCAATTCAAATACCAGACGGGACAGCCTACGACGACATAAAGGACGCCAAAAGAGAAGCTCTTGTTAAGTTCCTAAACAAACGTCCTTGGATAAAAATACCAAACAAGGAGAACCCCCTACCCCATATGAAATTGGCAATTCAGTCTCTCCTTCACTTCTCGGGTCAGCCGTTCTACATAACCTGTGAAGGCGACATCCAACCAGTTCAGTCAACCTTAACGTTTTGAGTAAAAACATTTTTTTCATTTTTGAATGAAGCAAGTTAAATTCGTCCCACACCAATCTCAATGGACCGATGAAGAGTTTCAAGCCATGGTTGAAGGCGTTGAGAACGACATAGACGGCGAACTTGAAGGAGCTCAAACCACAATTGCAACCAAAATTGCACAAGTCAAGGAACAGATAGCTCCACTTAAAGCTACCAAAGCTACTCTTGACCTCATGGATAGTTACCGTTTAGATGTCAAGAGTGGAATAAGACAATTAAAATTAAAACTCTTAAATACGAAGCTATACTCCAGAAGTTAGCAGAAATGAGAAGACTTTACCAGAGCTACTTACATGTAAGGGACTTACCTTCAAGCAGTCCGACCAAAGATGAATTTTCTGACATTGTCCCAATTTTGTCCGAAAGTCAGCTCAGATGTTTTGAACTGCTCCCAACATATCCAGAATATGAACGTTTGCCTGAACTCTTCCGCAATCTCAAAAAACGTTTTTTGGTTCTCATGTTCCAAACTTTTATCGGAAGAGACAACAAACGTTCAGAAGAAGAACAAGATATTATTTTAAACTTGTTGTATGACTTAACCGTCATAACAAGCTTTTTGAAGTAAAACCGTCATTCTCAAACCACTTCATTTTTTCGATGTCCGAACAAGCACCGAAGCCGAACACAATGGCAGATGTCCTTTCAATGTTGCCAGACAAGCGCCCAGTTCAAATTCAAATTTTGAATTTGAAAGCTCATCTGACAAACACCGTTAAGACTCTCCAAAGTAGTCTATGGAAGAGATGAAGGGACTTAAAGGTGAGTTCCTCATGAACCAAGCTTCCAATGAGAAAGTCCTGAATGATTTGACGGAAACCTTGCGCATTTACGCGAGAGAGAACCGAGACCTTGCCAGACTCATCTACCGTTTCTTCGAAGAGATAGATGCCATCTGGAAGGTACTCGGAAAGGACAGAACATGCAACACCGTAATTCGTGAGCACCAAATTGAAGAAGGAATTTTCGAGGAAGAAGAGGAACACGAAGAAGAGAGGAAGAAGAAGAGAAACACGAAGAAAAGAAGTTTGGGCAACCCTTGTTGCCGATGACAGTTATGAAATTTCCCAACCCTACCCATACAAAATCCGCAACAAGGAGACCGGCAAGGTTCTTACCCCAGTCCTCAACAACTTGGGACACTTGACCCTTACCCTTCGAAATTACGGTACAATTTCCATGGGAAGGCTTGTCGGTATGCAATGGTTCCAAATCCAAACAAGAAGACGAAGGTCAGACACATTGACGGTGACAAGCTCAACAACCGTAAGGAGAACCTCGAGTGGTTCTAAGAGTAAAAAAATTTTATTTTAGGGGGAAACCCCGAGTAAATTTAGGTGTTTATTTAGTTAAGTAGCTTAAATTAATGAGAATTTGGACAAGTAGTTCCTGACCCCTGAATTGAACTCTTTCGTCATCCCAGTTGCGTAGGAGGTCGTCCCAGAGGAGTTGGTAGAATTGCCAATCCAAGGACGATTTGTCCTCCCAGGCATTGAGGATGTACTGCTCGTAGAGTCTCATGACCTCTGCCTTGCACCAGACACCCTCTCCCTTGGAACGTAAGGCTTCTTCGAAGTGCTCGAATGCGATTGGCTGCGTGACCATCTGAAATGACACTTTTTGTCCGTTTGGTCAATGTTTGTGTCTCGTGCCATAGTCGACGAAAATACAAACAAACAGGTTATATATGAGTTTGAGACCAAGAATGGTGTAACTCGACCTGTCCGATTCAAATTCGAATAAAAATTTTTTATTTCATGCAATGTTTAACTATTTCACCATCTTCTTTAACACCCCAGTACTTCCTTTTCGATATTACATGAACTTCGGTGAAAATTTTGTCCAATTTGAATTGACCCATCTTTTCACCGACCATGCCCATTTCAATGAGTTTGTTATAGCCTTCTTCGTTCGTCATGAGTGCATCGATGTTCTCATAGTAAACCTTCACTTTGGATTTGACTTCCGAGAAGAATTTGTTGTAGTTGTCAAGGACTGCCTTTGCGAACTGAGGGTAAGACCAATGTTCGACAATAGGTTTTAATGTGGTTACTAAGCCACTTTGACCTTGAGTGAATTCGTACTTCAAAACAAAAGGAGAAAACCTTTCAACAAAGTTGTCGACCTTCTCATAATGTTTACTCTTCATCTCTTGAGGTTTCTTAATGGAATATCCCCATGTCGAATTCATAAGCAATTTGAGTGTCATTGCAAGTTTGGGGTTTGAAGCTTTCCTAATATCATACAGTTGTTGTATGACTTTTCCAACTGTATAGTTCCTTCCCGGGAACTCACCATCTTCGTTTGGAATTCCAGTCGGGATATATTGGACGAACCTCATGTATGCGGCGTTAAGGTCGACATAGTATATTTTTTCATCTGAGTCGAACTTATCGCATCCAATCGGACCAGTTTTGGAAATTCAAGCGAGTCTCTTATCTTCTGAGAAACTTCTCCTGTTATCTCATAAACATCGTCGAAGCAACCTGTTTCATATAAAACCTTCTGACCTAACTCAGATGCTCTCCAATACAATTTGACGTCAATTGGATGTCTCAATGGAGTTTGTTTATAGCATCTTGAAGTTCTTGCAACCTCATTGGAAGTTCTTCTGGTTCAGGTTGGTATCCGAACAATCCAACTCCTTTTGGAACTGTGTACTTCTTTTGTACTAGAACTTTGTCTGGAACAACTTTTGGTCTTGCTAACAGTGAAAAGTTTGTTTCGTCTTTTGGTACAAAAGTTTCTGTCAGCTTGTCATCTGGAATTGGTTCCAACAAACCTTTCTCGAAAAGAATGTTAACAGCTCTGACAATGTTGCACTTGCCTTTTCCGAACAATGGTTTGTAAGACTTTCGTTCAACATGAAGTGGTTGTGGACAATTACAATCTTCAACCATGGTAAGTCTTTGTCAACAACATAGTCGTCATGTGAAGAACCTTTCTCAGTCGGAATGTTGACTCGGATATTCACATTTGCCAACGGTGCAATTTTAGCCAATTGACCTCTGAGCATGTACCTTGTCTTCACACATGACTCAAGATACTTCATCTTCTCATCTGTAACAAGACCAGAGTTCCTGAGACATGTAAGAATGCAAGGTTCATTGACAATTGTTTCAATTGAATTGTAAATTCCATACCTTGTCAAGTCAATGTCAGACTTATTTATGAACGGAAAGTATCCAGCATGTTGTCTGACTGCTTGAGGGTTAGGTTGGTACCATTCGAACTTGACACTTGCAATTCCTTCAATTGCATTCAAAATGTCTGAGTCGGAGTCAACCATTTGTTCTCTCTTTGTAGTCTTGAAAGCGTCAAGAAGTTTTGCAGCTGTTTGTTCATTGCCATTTGCATAGTAAATGTGACCATCCAAATCTGTTATGGTCAATCTGAGATTGTATCCTTTCTTATTTCCATCTTGTATGGCAGCAAGTACACCCATGAAGCCTTCTTTGTTCTTTCCTTCGTCAAAGTTTACTGTAAAGGTTCGACTAGATGTAATTTGACTTCTAACTTCACGATACTTCTCATATGCATATCTTGTTCTTTCCATGGGAGCATGTGCGTCTTCACCTTTTCCTTTTTTCCTTCTCAAAGGATGCAATTGTTCGTCATGTTTCCAGTAGAATCTGGCAAAGCCGTCGTGTCCTTCAACTTGAGGTTCACTAACATCGAAAGGCATGTCCATAAGACGTTCTTCTTCTAACCTCTCTAGTCTGTTTGGATAATTTGCACGTGCTGTTTCCAAATCCATTTCGTAGCGAAGACCAGCCAGTTTGTCATAGACTTTTATGGGTCTTCCTTTCTTATATTTAAACTTCTTCGAAACTCTCCAACCATATCTTTGCAACTCTGCTTTTATTCTAGCAGACTTTCTATCCATTCTATATGGGGGCATTTTTATAAAAATAAAAAAATGTTTTTTTCTTTACTTAACATAACCGCCTGCTGCCATAAGTCTTTGACGCCAACCCATACCAGCTAATGAAGGTTGACTTGGTTTAGTTTCCAAACTAAACTTTGGTTTTGGTTTATCTTCAGTTTTTGGTTTTTCTTCTTCTATCGGTTTTTCGTCACTTTTTGGTTCCTCTGACTTTACCTCACCTGCAGGAACAGTTGTGTTGTCAACATCTTCATAAATATCATATGCCATTTGTTTTTGTTTTCCTTTCAACTTTTTGTGTTTGTTGTAAAGTTTAGAATATTTCGACTCTAAGTCAATGAGATGTTCTATAATGAACTGTTGGTCAGTGAAGTAAACTTTTCCATCTGTTGTCTCGAAAGCTCCTTCAGACTTCAATATTTTATTTGTGAGAGTCTGTTTCTTTTTTGAATACTAGCCGTTCCATTTCTATGAAAAGTGACTTATAGTTAGGGTTTGTATTTCCAGACCTGGCACTTTCTATTATTGAATTTTTCTCTTCATCTGTAAGTTCTTTGACAGGTTTTGACAATGGTTCTGAACTTTTGTTTGTGGTGTCAAATCTACCGTTTCAACTCTTCGGTCATTTCATCTCAGTAAAAAATTTTAGTTTGGTTTGTTTTCAACTGGTTGTTGTTGTTTTTTAAGTCGGTCTAAAACTTCCTGAGGTATAGGAAGAACTTGACAAACACGTTGTGTAACTGCTGGAAGTCGACAAATCCATCTTGAACCCATTTGTCTCAATGCTGTATTGTTCATTTCATCTCAGTAAAAAACTTTACATTCCCCACGTTTGAGGCGGTTGAGGTTGGTTATTGTTTACCCATTGTTGTGCATGGTTATATCCTCTGTTAAAGAATCTTTCACCTTGGTCCATATAGTGTCCTGCTTGGTTATAGTAGTCATTTGCTTTGTTATAATAGTTTCCTGCTTGTCTTCCTACATTGTCCATCCATCCTTGAACTTTTCCTCTTGTTTCAGGATTTGGAATAAGATTTGCTGCATCTCGTGCTACATCCCAACCTTTCTGTACAGTTTGTATAATAGGTTGTGCTTTCTCTTTAAGTATACCTAATGTACTCAAAATCTTCCTTCCAACTCCAAATACACCTCTGGCTATTGTTCCCACTGCGGGCAAAAATCTGGATGCAACTCCTGCTAATGCGCCAAATAAACCCATTTCTTATGGGTTAAAAAATGACGAATCCGAACAAGGACCCCTATGTTTCTAAGGCAACAAAGAAAGCACTCATGATAAAAATCTTTAGTTCAACACCAAATGCTTGGTTTATGGATATCTTGGAAAACATTCCGAGGTATAGAGAAGATGGACCACCATACTGGCTAATATTTGTCGGTCAAAACACAAGATACTGTGAAGCCATACACATTACAGTCCAAAAATATTTTAGATATCTTAGCAGCTTTGACAATATTCGTTGACAAATACCATCCAACAAAACTGACATCTGACTGTGAAAGTTCTTTCAAATCAGATGATGTAAAAAACTATCTGCGTTCAAAAAATGTAAACCAATATTTCATTGTCGACCAAAACCATTCTGCTCTTGTGTCATTGACGGTTGTATAAAAATGTTAAGAGACTTAAACCAACCACAAGGTGGTGAAGCAAATGAAATGTCATATGACGACAAATATAGACACTTCTCCATGGCAAAGATGAGACAAGTTTTAAATATTTACAATAACCGTAAACAAAAAGGTTTGGGAAACCACTCCCCTGAAGAAATGAAAAACAACCCTGACTTAGAGAAAGACTATATATTTAATAATTTAGTCAAAAGAGACAAACAAGAAAGAATGCCGGGCTTCAAACTTAAGAAAGGTGACAAAGTAAAAATAGAAATACCTAAACGCGACCCATATGAAAATACTATTGACTATGACAACAATGGGAACCCGACAGGTACTCACATTCGTGTTCGTAAAAATAGAAGAAAGTATACAAGAGAATATTATGAAGTTTTAGGCAAACATGGCAAAATGTACACACTGCAAGCAGAAGATAAAACTACTATTGTCAGACCTCGTTTCAAACTTGTCAAAGTTCAAGGTGGTATACTTTCAAAGACAGTTCCTAACAAATATAAGACAACTCCTGACGAATATGCTAAAGAAGTTGAAAATGACGACTAAGCATTTCTATACCATGCGTAAACTGTCATGTAAGGTGGCATGTAGTCTTTACTTTGTCCCGTTGTTTGCGTATATCCTGAAACGCGATGTGTATGGTTTCCATCTCCCTGAGTGTCACCCCAGAAACAATTTATAGCAAACTGAACGTCGTCTTTAACATCATATCCTTTACCTTTTTTCATTGCTGACCAATCCCAAAATTTATGCTTATGCCAACCTGCTTGAGATGTACTTAAATCTATGTAGTGACTATGTGCAGGTAAATTTTCACCTGAAATCGTTTTACTTCCACCTGTTTCCTTTGAAGAGTTTGCACAATACAAAAACCTGTCGACTATTTGAGTCCAAGTTCCAAAACCAAGTACTACTTCTGGTCTGGTAGAGTTCATTGACGTATAAATAGAGCCTATAGGATATAATGTTTGAAGCATTTCTGTCTTTAATGTTTGAAGCTCTGTTTTGTCTGCTTTCTTGTCATATAAATCTTGAGCAGTGAATTTAGTATTATATTCATCCTTCATGACATAAACATCTTTACATCTAATGTTTCTCATCGTCGTTATGTCGTCATCCGATGTTAAACCGTGTGGAAAGTTAGGAGGTTTACAATATAATACATCCCCACCAGTTACGTCAACCGTTCCTTCAATACTTTCTATAGCAACAGTTGTAAAACTTGTATGTGTATGGTTCTTGTCTGCTTTCTTCTCTAACTCATCGTTAACATAAGTTTTATCTGCTTTAAGGTCTAAACATCCTGAAACCCATCCTGTATCGGCTTTAACTTTAAAAGTCTTCGATGTCCATTCATGGTACCAGTCAACCCTTTCTATAATTTCTTTATCTTTTTCGTTAACATATTCCTTATCTGCTTTCTTCTCTAACGCACTAGCCATAAGTCCCTTATCTACCTTATTTTCAAGGCTAACGTTTAAGTCTGTTATTTCAGATATAGAATGTGTATGAGTCTTTTTAGAATATTCGTTTTCAGCTCTTGTCACTTCACTTGACATTTTATTGTCAACATATGTTTTGTCTGCTAGTTCAGGATGAGTATGTTCTTTTGTTGCATAAGCATTGTTAGCTCTTTCTTCTTCTTTTGCTATTGCATCGTCTACATATTCTTTGTCAGCTTTGTTGTCAACATCTGCTTTCAAAAGAAGTTCATTTATAGGTTTCTCGTTTAAAGTTCCTTTTGTTGGATTTATACAGACAGTATTGTTCTTCTTGTCTTGAAATAGAAACTCATCTGTCATTGGGTTTAATGTCAGTTTTAAGTTTCCTTCTTTCAATGACTCAGATATCTTAGAATAGTTTGAAAAGTTTGTTGTGTTCTTATTTAGAGCTTGCATAATGAGTTGTCGGTTGTGTTGTATTTCTCTCATGGAAGCAATATCTTTCGACATTTTTATTCTAGATAAAATATGCTTTCAATAGAAAAAGAAAATTCAAGAGTTGCTACAACTAAACCATTAGATGAACTTTTACTAATGTCGGTCAAAAGTTTGAGACAGAGACCGTAAAGCATGAAGGCTATCGTTTGACTACCCATTAAGATGGCTAAGAGACCCATCTGTCACAAAAGCTATTGGCTTTCGTAGAATGAAGTTTGTGTCTGTAGAAGATAAAAGTTTTCCATTTATTGTAAGGTTTCATATAGATTATATATCTGAAGGGAAACGAAAAATGTGGGAAGAAATTGAGCTAATACAAGTTGACCTTTCATCTTCTCTACAGACTGCGTTAAAAAATATAGAAGATAAAATAAATTCATGTTATGCAAAATATGCTGATGAATATGCAAATACCGAGAGCACACTTTATGTGAGAATTGTATATGACAAACAAAATTCACAAGTGTCATTTCAAATCTACGAAGACAATCCAAAGAAAGACGAACAAATATATACAGAATTCACTGCAATGTCATGGTATTATTTGCAAAGAATGTTAAATCAGAAAGTCGAACTTCCTTTAGCAAATATTTACAGTCGATATGCAAGAGATGAACCATATTTATTTAAAGATGTTTCGACCCAGCTGCTATTATTTTCATGCTTCATTTTCTGGCGCCCAAAACTCTTTCTTATGCTTGGCAAATGACTTTTACGAAAAACCTACAAAGTTATACGAACCACCAAGTGGAAGTATTTCAGACTTTCAAGTATGGTTTACTACAGATGAAGAAAAAGAATAATTCCATTATACCATGCGTTTTACTTAGAACTTAGTTTCATATACAACTACTATCGAACGTAAAAATATAATTTTTTAATACGGTTGAGGTGTTGGATTTGGTTGCCAACTAGACTGTGGTGCAGGTTCAGGCTGTTGTATAACAGGAGCTTGTTCTTCTGGTTCAGGGTCTTTAGGTATAATACCAACAAACTGACCTACTCTTTTACCAATATTTTTGACTCCGTTCCAAATTCCTCTTCCTACGGTTTTTATTCCATTCCATATACCTCTTCCAACATTTCGAAAGAAGTTTCCTATCTTACTGAAGAAACCCATTTTACTATATGTAAAAATCTAATGTCCGCCTAGTCTCTTACGTTTCCTGTTGAGTTCCATAGCATTCTTTAACTGGAGCTCATACATTCTGTTTCTCCTCTGGTAGAAAACATATTCTGGGTCAACTCCTGTGTTCGCGTCATCTGCATAAAGTTGTTATATCCCACTTCAGGGTTTGTATAAAACTCTTTCCATCTCATATTTGCATACCATGGTGGCAAACCTAACGCAGCGTCATTTGACATGGCAGTTTGCATTTGTACATCTGTTGGCACTTGACCATAGTTTGCCATTGCAGTTTGTATTCTAACTTCATTTGGAATATTCTCTGGGTTTGGTTGTCCAGGTTGCTGTGCATTCGCTAAGTTCTGTGCGTCCATTTAATATTAGATAAAAATATCTCTTACGAGTACATATACTGAACATTTGCAGGCATTGGTTCATCTTCATATTCTCTGTACTTTTCTGCCACGTCAAATAAATAAATGACACAATGGAAAAAACCTAAAACAAGTAGTCCGATTTCAAACCACATTTACTTACTAATAAAATTTCTTTGTTATGACACTTTCTCCAGTTTATAGGTCCTCTCTCATATTCTATCTTGTCATATATAAACTCATAGTCATGTATATCCTCTAACCATCTCATAACGGTTTCCAAACCACTTTTATCGGATGTAAAGTAAAAGCATGGATGGTTATGTAAAACGTCTAAAGTTTCTAAAGAGTCTCTCAAAGTCCAGTCTACTTGGTATTGAAAATCCCATGTGTTATAGAACGGCGGGTCCACTATAAAGAAAACATTTTCCTTGTCTTTATATTTTTCATACAAATCTGTCCAATGACATCTCACAAACTCTATACCCTCTATATATTTATCTATGTCCTCTTTGAAAACATTTGTATAGTTAAGATATAAAACTTTTGACATAAGTGTTTCAATGTCATGAACTCTTATAGCACCACTATATAATAGTCTAGCAGATATACTATTCCAGTCTATATATTCTGCTTTTTTCAAAACCTCTCTCACAATATTTTTCTTATCTAATGGTATACGTTCCATCTTACCTATAGGTATCTTTTCTTTTAACTCTTTCAATATATTGTTTGTGTCTGGTATATGTTTGAGACGGTCCATATAGTTGTCGAAGTCATTGCATATAATCTTTGAGTCTGGGAATATTGTATGGCACAAATGGGATATATAGAAACTTCCACCGAACAAATCTACAAATGTTAGACCATTCGGTAGTTTCTTAAGTTCTCTCAATATAATATCTTTACATTTACTCTTATTTCCAAAGAACGGTAACGGAGGTTTTGTAAAATTCATTTATATATAATAATAAAAATGTTTTTACCCGAAAAGTGACAGAAAAGTGACAAAACATGAAAACATATATAATTTGTGAAAAGTGAAACATTATATAATGTTTTCGACCCAGAAGAAGGCTTCTTCCCAGAAGCAATGGAGGAAGAAGAAGAGTCCTCCGAATTCACACCAGAAGACTAACAATTTTCCGAATAAAAACTTCATTTATACTAAACATCTTCGGGGCTAGAGGGCACGAAGTGCCTGGAAGCCCCACTACCTTTTTTTTTTTTTTTTTTTTTTTTTGAATGTTCATCTGACCAAATTAATTATTTTTAGATTGATTTTTAAGGGATGATACTCAATGTGTATGATATGTATACCAACTTAATCAAAAATACACTTGTTTTACAGTTACATTGTTAGTTGGCTTATTGAACTTCATACAATTCTTTATTAATTTAGAATATGCTTGGCACCACACCCATATTAATACGAAATTAAGATGTTTTTTAGTAAAATACAGGAACAGATCAATTAAAAATAAATTTTGTATTCAATTGCTCAGTAATTATAGAATAAGACTATTAAGAAACACTTCTATTACTATTAGATGAATAATAGATCCAGCAAATAAGAAGTTAACCACCTAAGATTTATTCGTAAAAAACAAATTATATCATTAGAGTCATCATTATCGCTTTCACCTTGTTCTTGTTCTTGGTCTTCGGAGGATTCATCTTTCTCTTCGAAGTCCTCTTTAAAAGTATCATCTGCCGCTTTATCATTTTCTCCTGTAAACGTAAGATTATCATAAATCATCATTGTATCTTCTGTTTTACTTATAACTGCTATTTCTTCATCCATGTTATTTGGATCTGCGTTGTCTATATTATCAGATGAATTATTATGATTAAAACAATTATAAATGTAACAGAAATGATAACTATGACATATGAATAATGGTGTGTTCACTCTATTTGCATGTCATTCACCGTCGTTAAACTTATAATAGTGTTGAACCATTTATTAGAATAATTTCACGTTCAAATTGATAATAAGCTGCATCATAGCTTAATGGAAGAACTTTAAATATAGTATTATTGAAAAATTCTAAATTATAATCAAAATATTTAAAAATTAGATTTTTATACATTCAAGATTGATTACAATTGAATAGTTTTGATTTCTTAGCCATCATCAACAATATCACTGTCACTTTGATCAATGTTTGCATCTACAACACCATTATCTGAATCGGAGAAAAGACCACCTTTGTCTTCGAAATCTTCATGGAATGGATCATCTGCTGCAGCACTGTTTTGTGTTGTGAAAAGAGGATTGTCGGTTGTTACCATGCTCTCTTCTGTCTTGCTAATGATAATTGTTTCTTGTTCCATTTCAAACTGTTCTTCGTTGTTTCCTGCGAGATCAGTTGAACTTTCGTCATTTTGATTCTTCTTCAATTTGACCAGAACAATAATGATAACAACAGCAATGATGACAATGCAAGCGATGATTGGCCAAAGAATGTACTTTCCAAAAGTGGTTTGTAAGAAGCCAATTTCAACTTGTTCAGTAGTTGGATCGATAACTGTGATTTCATATGTTGTGATGATGTCAGTGTATGTGACGAATATGTCACCATTGATATCTGTTATGAATGTCTCTACTGCTGTGATTGCTGTTGTGTAAGTCGTTCTTCCTGTGTATCCTGTAGGTATTTTTGGAAAGACTGGGAAACTTGCAGGAGTTCTTGCAGGGGAAACAAAATGCTTCTCAACTTTGAAGTTAATCTTGACATCTTTGGATACAAAATCTCTATCATCAAGTGCTTGTAAGATAATATCATGGTTTCCTGTCGATCGAGGAACGTTGAATGTGTAATTGAATTTCTTGCATTGATCACGATCTGAAGATGAACATGAATGAATGATTTCAAATTCTTCATAATCGAATCTCATTCGAACACGAAGATTGTCTTCAATATCTGCATCATCAACAATACCAGAAATTGTGATTTTATCTGTGATCTTGAATGTGTGATCTGAGATTTCTTCGATGTTTGTCACAGTAAGTTCTGGTGTGTTACTATTGTAATAATAGAAACTGTAGGTAGTAGAATTTGATGTCAATCCATATTCATCAACTGCATATATTGTGATTGTATGCTTCCTGAATGTAAGTGAACCTGGTTTGATCTCTATCTGTGTACGGACACGCTTATCATTTCCAAGGCATTCAATAAAATCACTTGCATTCATCTCTTCGCCATCATCAATCTTATATCGAATATTTGCTTTAGTATCATCTCTGATTTCTGAGTCAATGTCTATGAATGCATGTGCTGGGAATCTTTCACCAATATCTTTCAGAATCTTAAGCTCGGGACGCTCATTGATGATAATATTCTGTGTGAAATTCTCTAAGACATCTGTATCATTGTTGTCATCGTCGAATATAATTTCGACAATGCCACTCTTCGCATCTCGAGGAACTGTGAAATTGAAATTGAAATCTGTTGCTGACATCGAATTATGAATTGTGAATACATCGATATAGAACCTTGTACCTGAGTTCCCGAATCGTCCCATGACTCGAACTTTAGTAATTTCTGGCTTGAAAGTCGAAGGCACAACATAACCTCCGATCTCTATCGGTAGTGATGGTTCAGCATAACTAGGTAGTTGTTTTCGCATAGAGATTCCTCGAGGACGTCGAACTTTGATCTTGTAACAAGATGCACGTGATGCTGCTGACATATTGTCTCGTGCTTGGAATGTAACGATATGAAGACCATCGTTCTTAGGAACTGAGAATGAATAGTTGAAATACTGCCAGTCACCTGTTGAAATTGTGCTGAATATTTCTTTGTATCCTTGTCTGTTAAGTTGAAGACTGACTGAGATCTTGTCACCTGGATCGATATCTCGAACACGACCTTGAAGAAGAACTATATCGTTATATTCGTATTCTTCCTTAGTTTCGACACTAAGGATTCCATATCTGGTGCATTCTGATCGATGAGGAGAAAGTCGTATGGAGTGTCTGCTGACTCTGCGCCAAATTCATCTCGAACGAAGATATACAGTTTGTGTGAACCAAATTCATAGAAACCTGCTGGAAGTTCGATTTGTGCAAAGTCTTCTTTCCATTCACCGTTACATTCAATGTAGTCTGTGATGTTGATTTCACGACCATCGTCAATGCAGTACCATAGCCTAACACGAGTGTTGTCCCAAACACGGAATTCAATATCAATGAAGCCTCGGTTGTAATATCGCTGGTTGACTTTGTTTGTGATCTTCAACATCGGTCGAAGGTTAATGACACTGTATCCTTTGTCGAGAGTGGCAACAACTTTTCCTCTATCTTCTGCCCAGATCTTAAGAGACTGAGGAGTAACTTCGTCTGGAACTTGGATTGTGAATGAGAAAACATTTGTTGTCAGATTAGGATTGACTTCAAATGTTCCAATACGTTCTGGTGTTTTTCCTTTTAGCTGGTAGAATATGTTAAGAGACATTCCTGGTGTGAAATCACCAGCGAAGCCTTCAATTGTAACATTGTCACCTGGCATGTATGAGTGTTCGATGGAGTTGTGCAGTTTGATGCAAGGTTTGTGTTGAACTTTGAAATCATGTCTGAAATCGCGAGAGTGTGATCCCATGTTGTCAACTGCATAAACAACAATGAAATACTTAGAGTTATTCCTTGGAACAGGAACATATGATTCGAAATTATGTGAGTGACCATAACTTTCGAACTCGTGCAAAGGAATTGGATCACTGAAATTGAATCTACAATACACTGTAACTTTGCCACCTTCTGTTGGTGATGTGTCAATAACACTGCCCTTGATATAAATGCTCTCGTAGAAGTTGTACTCGTATTGTCTTGCAAAGCCATCAATTGTGATGTCTGGTGAACTTCCTTCACTAAGTGTGAAACGGTGTGTGATGATTTCTGACTCCATCTTGAATTCATCACGTGCATAAATAGTGATTGTGTGTTCATCATGTGAAAGAACTGTCTGATCAACTAAAATTTGCTTCCTGTAATTGTATTCACGTTCGTATGAGTAAACTGTATCTTTGAAGCATGTTTCTGGACGACTGTCGAACTTGTAACAAACAACTGCTTGTGTGTTGTCTTTGATCTTATAGTCCAAGTTGATATGGTCTCCATCATAATATACATTACGGAGTTGTGTGCTGTTAAGCAAAGATATCTGAGGAGGAGAGTTTACAAGGAAGTTTCCATTTGTTTGATATATGACTTTGTTGTTTATTTCAAGCCAAACTTTCGAAGAGTGAATGTTGACATCTGGTGATGGATTAATTGTAAAGCTGAACTCTTTCGACTTATATTCACCATCAATTTTGACTCTATCAACAAATATCTTGTTTCCATTGTCAACATTGTAGAAGATATCGATATCTTGTCCAATTTCGTAATCAACAACATGTCCACTAACAACAATTGTTTCGTCACTATTGTAGTTTACGCGGAATGGTTGTGTGAATTCGATTCCAGGTAGTCTTCTGACTTCGAAGTCAACAAATGTGATCTTAGATTCTATTCCATCTTGATTGACAGCTTTGATCGAAGCTGTATAGAAACCATCCGACGGAGGAATCTTAAGATCATAATCATAAACAAGTATTCCATCACTCGATTCATCATCATTACTCAAAATATATCTAGTTGAATCTGATGAAAACTCATGGATTGTGAAATAATCATCATAATTCAATTTGATCTTCAGAGAAATCTTGTCACCTTCGTTAAATGATTTAGCCTTGCATTTGATTTTAATACTTTCGAAATATCCATATGTGTATCCTTTAACTTTACTTTCAACTGATAATTCTGGTGTTTGCTTAGAAAGTGAATATTCGAAATTATGAACAACAGCTACTGAGTCACTTCCGAACTCATCTCTCATGAAGATGCTCAATGAATGGCTACCTTCTGAGAGAGTTCCTTCTTTGATTTCGACTTGAAGAACTCGTTCTTCAATCTCGTAGAAACTCTGGATAAGTTTTGAGATTTTGAATTCCTTACCATCATCAATCTTGCAGTAAACATATCCTTCAGTGTCATCATATACACTGACATCAACCTCGATGAATGCATGGCTGTAGTATGTACCAAGGAGTGTGTTCGTAATGTTGAGTTCTGGTGCTTGACTGACAATGATGTATATCTCATTATAAGGACATAAAACATGCCCTAGTTCGTTCTCACCCCATAGAATCAAGTAGTGATCATTCTTAGAATTTGGAAGTGTAATGTTGTAATTAACAATACCTGATGTCATGTTGTCGTATATTTCAACATATGAGATGAAGTTCTTATCTTCACCATCAATGCTGTAACAGAATGAGATTGTGCTGTTTTCGTTGAAGTCCATAAGCATTGATGACAAAACCATTGTTTCACTTGCACCATATGCTTGACGCATCTCATTCAACATCTTGACTGCTGGTGCACGCTGTGCTTTGAATGAAAGTGTAGCCTCGTTAGACTTAGAAAGTGTCTGGTCCATTGCTGCAACGAAGATTGTGTACTCTGCATCACCACGAGGAACATTGATCGTGTAACTGAAGTCATGCCACTGACCATCCGAGATAGAGTCATACAATTCTGTTGGTTCGCTGCTGCCGACTTTGAAAATAACAATGACATGGTCACCACTATCAAGATCGCGAACACTTCCACTAAATGTGACTTTCTCGTGATAGTTGTATGGACCTCTCTTTGGAAGAGGATTAAGAACAATTTCTGGTGCATGCATATTTCGGAATTCGAAATCTTGTGAGATTTCGTTTGACTTAACACCAAACTCATCAACAATCCATACTTTCATTGTATGTGTTCCAAATGCAAGATCATTGCCATCAATTGGAACACGTTTGATAACTGGGAACATAGGACTCCTTATTGGAAGCATCTCATCAATGTATTTTGCTTTCTTGTCATCGAATGAGTAATAAATTCTGCAGTTTGAATCATCTGTGATGTTGCAGTCGATGTCAATGTATTCGCTCATTGAGTAATTTCCTTTGATTGGTTTCCACATATCCAGTACTGGTGCTCTGTTTGTGATGATATTGATGTAACTAGTTCTGCTCGTCATACTACTGTTAGATGATGCCCAGATGATGATTTGGTTCCTTCGAACTTCAATAGGAAGTGTCGTATTGAATGTGAATATGTCTGTCTTGAAATTTTCGCCAACAATCATTGGAAGAGTTGCATACTCTGTGATGTCGTTATTGACACGGAAATAGAGTTGGACTTCGTCGCCAACATTGAAATCTACAATGTATCCACTGATTGATATTGTTTCGTTTGGGAGATACATTGGTGAGAGTTCTGATGTTATGATGACAGATGGTGACTGCTTAACAGAGATTGTGAATTTCTGGTCACCAGATGATGAACCACTCTCATCACGTGCTTTGAATATAACAGTGTGATCACCATCAACATGAGGAAGCTGAATTGTATATGTGAAGTTGTGAACTTCATTATTTGAGTCAAATTCAGCAACTTGCGTTTCTTCATCATTGTCAATCTCAACGAAGACATAAGTTTTATCTTGAGCATCTAAATCATGAACAGATCCGTTGAATGTGACACTTTCATGAAATCCATATGTATTTCGATTTTCAGAGAGAGATACTTTCAATGTTGGAACATAACTATTTGTGAATCTGAAATTCTTTGTGACTTTCTCTGACTCTGCACCATACCAATCTCGAAGATAGACTGTGATTGTGTGGCTGCCAATTGACAAGTCATTTGGAATTGGAATCTGTCTTCTGATACTTAGATTCTTGCCACCTGCATTGATCCACTCATTGATTGAGTTAATAGACATTGTGTCGAAGTAGTAATGTATCATTGATGTAGAATCATCGAAGATCACTGAGTCAAAATCTATAAATCCGTTCTTTGCATATGTTGGACGAATTTCGTTCCATGTAATGATCTTCGGATTGACATTCACTGTGAAGAACTGTCGAGAGTACTCACTCTTGATACCATTACTATTCTCTGCCCAGAATGTGACAGAGTGTGTTCCAACTTTTGTTGGAAGACTGATGACGAACTCGAATTGATTTGTTACATAGTTATCATTCATTATCATGAGAGGTGTTGCGAAAACTGAGTTTCCTCCACTGATACTGTATAATACTTGAACTTCCTGTCCTGGATCGTAATCAACAACAAATCCACTGATTTCAACTTCTTCGCCACCATTGTAGTAACTAGAGATACCACTTGTGATGATAACACTTGGAGTCTGTTTCACTTTAATATCGAATGATTGCTCATTTGAAAATGAACCAAAGTTATCTTCTGCTCTGAATACAAAATTAACAACACCATTGACATTTGGAACTGCAAAATCATATAAATAATGAGATATTTCGCCATCTGATGTATAATCATAAATTGTTTGTTCATCACTATTGTTGATTTTGAGACGAAGAGAAATTGTGTTTCCAACATCTGGATCAATAACACTGCAGTTAAACTTGATTATATCATAAAAACTATATGTTTTTGAGCCACTTAATAGTTTGACACCGAGCTCTGGTGCATGCCTATCATTGTAAATAAATCTAAATGAAACTTCGTTTGACTTGATATCATACTGATCAATTAAGTATATTGTTATTTTGTGTTCACCTCCTCTGAAACTTTCCTTTGGAACTGGAATCTGTTTGTGAATCTGCAGATCTGCCCCTGTACAATCAATCCAATCACTAAGATATTGAACAGCTCGCTTATCATATTGATAATATAATTTTACCCGACTATCATCAAAGATTATTCCATCAATATCGATATATTCGTTGCTTGCATATTCTGGTTTCAAATCATTAATTCTAATAATTTTAGGATTATAATTAGTTGTTGTGTAAAGAATTGCGTATTGACTCTCTCTGTTGTTTTCATCCTTCGAATAAACATATATTGTGTTTCTTTTTGCAGACTCTGGCAACTTGATTGTGAAAGTATATTCTGGTGTTCTGAAATCTTCTGATATTTCAAAAACATCATGAAGATACACTGTATTTTCACTATTAATTCTGTAATAAAATTGTATTGTGCTTCCTGGATTGAAATCACCAGCAAAACAAGTGATGTTGACTTTAGTTCCTGGCTCATACATTCCTTCGAGTATATTAGTAACAACAGTGATCGGTGTTTGTTTTACCTCAAAACTAATGCTTACTTCTGGTGATGCTGAATCTGTGTTGTCAATCGCTTTGAAGACTAAGTCATATTTACCATTAATATGTTCATATTCAAAATCATATGGAATATCTTCATATGTTCCATGAGATGTATAATTGATGATGTTTGTGAAATCTCCACTATTAACTTTCATGAATATTTGAACTTCATCACCATAATTCCTATCTCTCATCCTTAAAATTAATTTCACACTTTCATGGAAATAATAAATTTGTTTGTTTTGATTAGCTCTTATTACTTCTATTTCTGGTGCTCTTAAACTTTCTAGAATAAATTTGTGTGTAATAGTATTTGACCAGGCTCCAAATCTATCTCTGACATGAATTTGGAGAGTCTTTTCTCCAACACTATAAATTTTATTGCTTGTTGGAATCTGAATTCTTATACTTTTATTGGAACCTTGGCAATCAATTCTTTGGTTAATATATTCATAGTCATGCATTTCATCAAATTTGTAATACAAATTTACATAATCTTCATCCCAAACTATACCTTCAAATATTATAATTTCTCCCATTGAATACTGAGGATCAAAAGGATTATAATCATAAATGTAAGGCCTTTGAGTAATATATCTATAATGCCATTTTGTATTTGTTGTATAATTTTGGCATTTAGCATACATAGAAATAAATGTGTGTTTGTTGAAGTTTGGTATAGTGATATTGATTGTAAAATCTTTTCTGTAAGTTTCGTCCATTGTAATATTCGGGATATCTTCTATTAATAAATAATTATCAAATTTTAGAACCAATTGAATTTCCTCTCCTGGGATCAAATCCAATACATATCCTGTTAGAGTTGCAGTTTCTCCAACAATATAAAGTCTGTCTGGTAGAGTAAAGTAAAGATATGGTTGTCTTTTAACATTGATAGCTCTAACATGTTTTTTGGATTTTGCACCACTTTCATCATAAGATCTTGATGTTATTGTATGAATACCGTCTATTTTTGGTGGGGAAAATGTTCTTGTTACATAATATCCTTCATATCCGTTTGAAGTATATTCAAAAACTGAATAAGGTTCTTGATCATCCCAATGTACCGTAATATTTACTTTTTGATTTTTATCCTTGTCACCATATCTAAATTCAATACTAAAAGGATCTGAATATCTCATTGGATGTCCATAAGAATAATAATAAAGATCTAAATAAGGTACATTCCTATCATCGGAATTGAAAACATGAGTATAATTATTCTCAGATGGGCATCCATATTCATCATATAAATAAAATGTTACATTATGTTCGCCAATACTAAGTTTATAATCTTTTGTTGGTACTTGTTTTGTAATTGTTACATTTTGACGATTAAAATTGATTATTTCATCAAGTTTATTTATTGGACCATTATCATATTGGAAATATAAATATCCTCTATTGTATTGATATCCAGTAAATGTAACTTCAATAAATGCATTAAGGGAATATGTGTCTTCTAAATTTGAAACTTCGTTTATTGACCCTGGAATTGAAACTTTAAATATAATTTCATAACAATAACCAGTTTGAGTTGAGTTTTTGTCATATGAATAAAAATTGTATCTATAAGATCCAGGAATTTCTGGCATCGTGATGTTAAAAATGAAATTATTAGATATGTAATTATCATCCATTACTATTTCGTTATGATTTAGAGATATGTATTGACTATAATTTATTGTATACTTTAAATCAATCATATGTCCTGGATCAAAATTATAGGCAAAACCTTCGAGATTAATAATTGAGCTTGGTGAATAATATTGTTGAATTGGAGTTGTAAAATGGATTCTCAAATCTTTTCTTACATATGAAGATGTGTAAGGAATATCAGAGTTCACACCATCATCATTTGTTATAGTCCAATAATGGGTATAATCTGCAACAATATAGGGTAATTTAAAATTATGTGTAAATACCTCGTTTGTTCCATTGTAATTAAAACTGTATACAGGGGTGAAAACATCTCTTTCATTCTTTCTGAACCATAATGGGTTATATTTTCACCAACTGTTCCACCTTTCATGCTTATCGGAATTGATATGTTCTGATAATAATTGTAATATCTACTGTTTCCCTGAAATCCATTTAATAATGAAAGAGAAGGCCGTGGCTTTGTAATCACATCAAATTCATAGTAGAATGATTCTGAATAGTGATAATCATCTTTAATGTATAATGTAATATTATGTTTTCCCTCATAAATATCCCATCGTTGAAAATATCCTAAATATGTTAGATTTCTGAATCCATCATTTATATATTTAAAAGATGAATAGTATTTGTTATCAACATTATAATAAAGATATGCGTACATATCACTATTTCCTACAAAATCAACATAAATTGTACTATCCTTGTAATATAATTGCTTCGGAGGAGTTATGATGTATAAAACTGGTTTTCTTCCTGTACAAAGAAACTTTGAAAAATAATTTGTAATGATAGCATCTTTCGTGACTGCCCATACATTGATAATCCTGGACGTTCTATATGATTCCAATATTAATTCAAATGAAAAATCAATTGTCCTCAATTCCTCTGAGACATTAAATTCATTTAGTTTGACGACTTGTCCCCAATTATATTGATAATATAAAGCAATTGTTTGGCCATTTTCATATCCTTCACATCGGCCTTCTAGTAACAAATTATGTTTAACTGGATATGTATCTTCTATTGGTGTATTCATTATTACATTTGGAGATTGCTTAATTTGGAGATTCGGAGTAAAAGTGACATATAAGTGAACTACTTCATCAACATCGATTAGTTTGTCTTTCCAGTATATTAAAAGATTGGTAAATTGAATATATCGTCTTGGATCCATATTTGTATAAAAATTGTATTCATAATACTGACTATGATAATTTGAATAAGCATTTGCGTATTCTCCACCTCTTGAAATCAGATACATTTCTTCATTTGTATTAGGATTAGAATAACGATATCCTTGATAATCCCCAAAAGGTTCGATTTGAAGCTTACCTTCATTGCCAAAGTAAAGACGAGTTCTAAAATATAAATCAATTTTCTTTGCTGTTGTGCCATTATTCTGAAGCGTATAATCTAAAATTATTTTATCTTCATTTTCTGGCAAAATAATGTTTGTATCAAGAATAATTCCTTGATAAAAATCAGATCCTCTTGCAGATGGTGATAAAACTCTATCACTTTGTCCGGAGATTTTCCAAAATGTCTTTATTCCTTGATGAATTCGTTTTCCATCATAATTCATTTGCAGTGTATACTCTGTGTTTGCAAAATCATATGAAAATTTGTTTGAAATGGATAAATATAATAAGAAATTAAGCATAAATTCTGAATACTAAAATTTTCAAAGCATTATCGAATTCAATAAATGTAAAGTTTGATAAAAAATTAATATTAATAGAATCAATACTATAACAATCATAGCAATTTGAATTAAAATTGAGAACTAATTACTTTGAAATTTTATTTAAATAATTATGTTTAGATATCTGTCACCCAACATATATTCTCACGACCAACTATCAATTTCAATATTTCAGAAAAAGCTCGAAAAATCTTTTAAATATGTATTTTTGAATGCGTTTTATGTTGGTTTTATATATAAAATTGAAATTCCATAAACGTATATTTTTGTGAGTTCATTGAAATTCTTTTATTTGTGTTTTCATAAGAATACACTTATAGATATGAAGACATCATGATGAGATTATTTTTTGTCGCATATTTGCGCATATTATGACACTTTTTCTGACATTTTTCTATAAATTGAGAGCAAAAGTATTCAAAATTTTGTCAAAATATGCGCAAAATTGAGAACTGCGCATATTATGACACACGATTATTTTTGTCCGTTACTGGAAACAAAATCTCTATGCATTGCTTTTCTTCATGTCTTTCGCCTAAAGGTATGTTTAAAACAATATGTATGAGATACGTATTATAAAAGATTTGAAAAACTCACATATTATTATCAAATTTTCAAATTTTTATCGAGAAAATATTGAAATCAAGACGAAAAAATATTGTTCATAACAAAATATTATAAAGATCTAGCATCTACAAGAGTTTCAAAGAAAAACAACCAACTTAAATTTTCTACTTCAAAAATAAGAACATCTTTCAAGTGTGACAAGCAAAAAAAGAATACATACGAATAGTTCAATTTGAAATGAATGATATGTTTATGTATAAGCTAGATTTACCTACATTCGATAATTGCTAAACGTTCATAACTTTGCGAGATATTAAAGAGAATTTATCGCTATTTACGTTATTTTCGACAATATATCAATATACGGCGATTGTTAAGTGAGTAACTGAGAAAAAAATAAAAGATTTGATTAATCTGAAGATCAAAAGAAGATAACAAGAGAAAAATATGAATAAATAAATGAATAATGAATAGAAAAAAGAAAGAAGAATATTGAAGATGATTAAATGAAGTTATTATAGGAAAATTAAAAAATATTACTAAAATTAAAGATATCTGACATGTTTACATATCTAATAATAATATATTTGTCATTTAAATCTATTTTGAATCATAGTAAACTATGATTGTCGTATGATTTAAAAGAATCTCTAAATTTGCTTACTAAAATTAAAGATATCTGACATGTTTACATATCTAATAATAATATATTTGTCATTTAAATCTATTTTGAATCATAGTAAACTATGATTGTCGTATGATTTAAAAGAATCTCTAAATATCAAGTCAATTTCTTATAAAATTGTTATCCATCTCTTACATTTTTTCATAATTACTACCTATATTATCAATCTCAACGATGACAATATCTTGTTATCAATATATTAAATTTAATTTATAAAATTCTTTTGTCTCATACTCGATTTTACTATATTAATACTATCGCATCGTAATATTTCTAATTTCATTGTTATTCATCGTTTCATCATCTTTTAACTATTTTAATTACATAATTTTTCATTAATTCTTTTTCTAATTAACAAATTAAATAATTATTAATAAATAAGGTTTTCACTTTTTTAAATCTGAAAATTACTTTTTTATGAAATTAACAATTAGATATCAAAAGAATGTAATTCTACTTCATTCTAACCAAGATGTTCATTGTTTAAGTTTATACCTTTATATAGCAAGGAAATTCAATCTGAATTTATATTCTTTTGTTATTAAATATAAAAGAAGGGAATTTCATTCAGTTGATATAATTAAATGTTTCAATGATATTGATTTAAAGGTTGTAAATGTTGATCCACCCACAGATGTTTTCAATTTGCCATTTTTTGATATGTATCAATTAAAAATTAGTAAATCACAAGAATATAATTCATTAACATCAATGGGATTCGACAAAAATGTTGCAAAAATAGCGCTTATTATAACGAAAAGTAATTTACAAGCAGCATTAAAAATTTTAAACTTTAATTTTGATCAAAAATCGGAGGATGAGTCAGAAGAGGAGGAATCCAAAGAAAATGGAACAGAATGTAAGAAAATGGAATCGGAAAGTAAAGATGCTACTATAGATGTTGCTGATAATGATAATGGTGATACAAAATCAATGGAAGATAAATGGCCATTAGGATATTCTGATGAATCACCATCATCATTGGCAGAATTGAAAAATACGGAATGCCAAATATTAAAATTTATTGAAAAACATTCGTCGGAAAACAGTCAAAAACAATCTGAACAAGAAGAACCATTTAATGAATTTGAGTTTGAAAATGAAAGTTGTAATAATATATTACAAAATAAAGATAGGAATCAAGAAAGAAGTTTACAATCCATTGAAAGAAATCAAAATTTGACAAATCAAGAAAGAAGTTTACAATCCATTGAAAGAAATCAAAATTTGACAAATCAAGAAAGAAGTTTACAATCCATTGAAAGAAATCAAAATTTGATAAATCTTCATGGAAATGTTCAAATTTCACCTTCTCGTTCTAAAAGAATTAATCGAACGGCAATTTTTAGGATACCTTCAAATCCTCCAACTTCTGCAAATCAGAGTTCCGTACAAAGGATTGTTTCTAATCCTCCAATTGCTGCAAATCAGAGTTCCGTACAAAGGATTGTTTCTAATCCTCCAACTGTAGATAGTACAGTTCCATTGCCATCACTTTCAAACATTACTCATTTTACTGATAATCTTCCCATTGATGATCTACTCAATTCAAACATTCTAATTCAAAATGCATTTCAATATCAAAAAACTAAATCAAAAGTCCAAAAGCTGCCATTACAGAAGATACATGCAAACAATGTGTTCCTAATTATATTATCATGAATCAAGATGAGCAAGACAAATGTAAATAAGAATAAAAAACATTCTAAGAACATATCATACTTTTCAAATATCTGATTCAGATAAATTGAAATATCAAAGTGTTATATATCCAGAAGGGATCCCTATTCGCTTTCAAATATATTATTCAAAAATTGATCGATTGGAAATTGTTTATTATTGCGCCAAAAAGAAAAGATGTTCTTATTCTCAACTTGTTACATTGTTCCCAGCAAATACAGGCAAAAAAGCTGAAGTTTGTGAAATTAATCCTCCACATCGATGTCCAAAACATACAAAATCTTCAATTATTGATGGTACTAACCAAAATAAATTAGAACTTGAGAGTGAGATACAAAATTTCATTCAGGTTAATCCTATTGTTTCATTAAGTCAGGTAATAGCATTTGCAAATCAGCTTGTGTTGGAATATAACGAATCTCACGATGATATTATTGAAATATCGTCTGATGTTATCAGAAGGTTGTACCAGGAAATTAAACCAAAAATGAAAATGAACGAAGATGAGTTGATTAAAAAATTACTTGAACATTATAACAATCAAAATTTCTATATTACAAAAATTTATTCCAATATTGATGATTCTAAGTTTTACTTTTTTGGATTGCCTTTATTCATTAATCGTGCACGAACTTTAAAACATTTGTTCATAGATGGTACATTCAAAGTGGTACCAATAAATCTCTCAAATGGTCAATTATTGAATTTCTTGGTATTTGATAATGCTACAAATTTATATCTCCCTTTTCTACATGTTTTGATGACGGGAAGAAGTGCTGATGATTATAATACTGTTTTCAATATGATGTTAACACATGAACAGATTAAAATTGGTCTTAATCAATTTTCCATCATCACAACAGATTTTGAAGCAGCTTTGATGAACTCTATCAAAGAAAAGATCAGCAAAGAGACAGTTCTTACTGGATGCATATTTCATTACATTGCTGCGCTTGTAAAGAACTTTAAGAAGTTGTGCAATCAAGATGATCATGCATCCAAATCTTTATTAAAATTATTATGTGGGTGCCCATTCGTTCCTAATTCAGTTTTTAAACTTATCTGTTCCAAGATACTTCAAAATTTGCCACTTATTTCCTTCGCACATGGAAATAAAATACGAAGAAATAAATAAAATGAATGTGAAGGATATGATTTTTTCGAATAATGGCGTGGAATCATTTAACAAGGTACTGAACTCACACATAATATATCCACATCCAACAATTTTCCATATGATATATACTTTACTTCAAGTTGATACAGTAATCGCTCATAGATATTTAACCAATCAACGAAACCAGTATGATCATAAAAAATCGTACTATATCTCGTTAACTAAAATTAATGAAGAATTATTTACTTTTGAAAGAAATTTTAATCTCGAAATTTCAGAAATACCAAAAGAAGAAATTGACAAATACAAAAATCAATTTCATCCAGGAGATATTGATTATCGTGATATTGAAATTGAGAAATTTATGAACAGGAATGATTCAGAGATAAATGATTCAATTAAAATAAACTTAGAAAATGATGAAGATGGAAAAATCACGAATTTACATTAAATGAATCAGATGTATTCAATTGAAATATTTTTAAATGTTATAAATATTGTGTTTATTGAACAATTGTTAAAGTGTTTTTAGAATTTAATATATGGAAAGAATAGATGGAAACATTGAATGTTAAGTTATAAATTAAATTTAATATATTGATAACAAGATATTGTCATCGTTGAGATTGATAATATAGGTAGTAATTATGAAAAAATGTAAGAGATGGATAACAATTTTATAAGAAATTGACTTGATATTTAGAGATTCTTTTAAATCATACGACAATCATAGTTTACTATGATTCAAAATAGATTTAAATGACAAATATATTATTATTAGATATGTAAACATGTCAGATATCTTTAATTTTAGTAAGCAAATTTAGAGAT